TAAGCTAGCAAGTTAAGCAAGTAAGTAAAAAACTAAGTAAGTAACTAAGTAAGTAACTAAGTAAGTAAGTAACTAAGTAAGGAAGCAGGTAAGTAAGTACATAAGCAAGTAAAAAAATTCAGTGAGTGGGTAGGTGAGTAAGTAGGCAAGTTAGTTAGTGAGTTAGTAAGTTAGTAGTCATAGTAGTAGTAGCAATAGTAGTAGTAGTAGTAGTAGTAGGTAGTAAGTATAAGTAGTAGTAGTAGTAGTCGTCGTCGTCGTCGTCGTAGTCGTAGTCCTAGTCGTAGTCGTAGTCGTAGTAGTGGTAGGAGTAGTAGTAGTAGTAGTACTAGTAGTAGTAGTAGTAGTACTAGTACTAGTAGTAGTAGTAGTAGTAGTGGTAGTAGGTAGTAGGTAGTAGGTAGTAGGTAGTAGGTAGTAGGTAGCAGGTAGCAGGTAGTAGGTAGTAGGTAGTAAGTAGTAAGTAGTAAATAGTAAGTAGTAAGTAGTAAGTAGTATGTTGTAGTAGTAGTAGTGGTGGTAGTAGTAGTAGTAGTAGTAGTAGTTGTAGTATGTAGTATGTAGTATGTAGTATGTAGTGGTGGTGGTGGTAGTAGTCGTAGTAGTCGTAGTAGTCGTAGTAGTCGTAGTAGTAGTAGTAGTAGTAGGTAGTAGTAGTAGTAGGTAGTAGTAGTCGGTAGTAGGTAGTAGGTAGTAGGTAGTAGGTAGCAGGTAGTAGTAGGTAGTAGGTAGCAGGTAGTAGTAGGTAGTAGGAGTAGGAGTAGGAGTAGGAGTAGGAGTAGGAGTAGTAGTCGGTGGTAGTAGTAGTAGTAGTAGTAGTAGTCGTAGTAGTGGTAGTAGTAGTAGTGGTATCCTGAGGGCTCCCCGGCACTGATACCCTGTAGGACTGCGTGCATGCCAGAGGTGACGTCGTGCAGGGTGACTAAGACAGTGCACGCACCGCTTTCAATACGCTCAACTTCCATTCCCTTATTGGATACTTTGCCTCCCACATCTGGATACCTCACATGGCTTTTGTGAGTCCTTGAGCGCATCTTCGTGCACCCTACATGGTCATCTTGATGACGTACTTCGTATCTTTCTCACAGTCACTCCTCATGACTGTCCTTTTCCATGGTCTTGTATAGTTCTTGACCTCTTCATGGTCTTGTCTCTATAGGCTTGATTGCCGTACACACTGTGCAGTGGGTAGAGGTGAAGGTTAGGAGTCCCTGCCGTACTGGGGGGTCCTAGGTGTTGCCGGTTTTCTGCCTCGCACGCATGAGGGGCGGCGGCTGTCCTGTGCATGGCTGTCACTGCTACTGCTTCTCTGCAAGCGTAGGAATGGCGCTTTGCAGAAGTTGTTTCTTGAGACCTGTGCGGTGAACCTTTACTTTGCACCTGTGGCAGCCCTGACGTGACGGTGGGAAGCTGGCCTTGTTCAGCAGGTTCACGATGCCTGTTGAATCGCATCCGCTTTGGCCCGTGTCGTCAGCTGTGCAAGGGCACAACACGGCATGCAAGATACGCATGCCGAAAAGCCACCGATCCTGAGATCCACCTCTGGTTTCGCTTTCGACCTGACCCACCTCGCGCCCTTGCAGCGCGTCCAGACATCACCGCATGCGACCGCATGCGCCCGCATGCGGGCATACGGCGGAAGTGTTGTCTCGTCCAGCACAGATCTCCACCCTGCTTGAGATGCAACGTTGATCCCCAGATCTCCACCCTGCTTGAGATGGTCCAGTTTGGTTCTGCTTGTTGGCTGTAGTGTGAATGGAACCTGGCGACAAAAAGAACCGGAAACGCGGTCCCGCACCTGCTCCTCCTTCTTACCAGCCTTCTTCGCGGACATGGCACCTACTGCACTGCCGCCTGACAGCGCCAGAACAACAAAAAAAGCGCGTCTGTCCTTTGGATGCCCACTCTTTGGTCCAACCTAGGTGGTGGTTTCTTGGCGTTTTCGTCTTCTTTTTCCTTCCCCACTTGAGACCGAACACAGCGCCGCGCACGTCGTTTCCGCCGCAGGGAGGTCGGTCGGGCGCCTGACGAAGAAGATCTGCGCTCAAATGGTGTGGTGCGCTCGCCCCTTTGGTGGAGCCAACGGCAACTTCCCAGAAGAACGAAAGCCGTAAATTCACATCAACGAAGAATGTGGTGTTGCTGGAGATCTCAAATTCATTAAAAAATTCTATCAGACTGCCGTTCCATCGAAAAAGAATGCTGAAAGAAGCGCAAGATGAAACCTGGCATCGTCTTTATTCTTCGGTGTTGGTGCGCAAGGCCTTCTATAAGGCCTTCCTGGTCTCGTTCTGTGTTTGTCGCGATCCGGATGATCCGTTGGGACAAAAGAACACGGTTCATGCAAGAGGCATATATACACGGTTTGTGGGAGCTGAAGCATGGAGAACACGATCATGTTTGTTCTCCGCTTTTTCACCGAATGGTCTATGTTTTGGAACGCATGGTTTTTTGGATCTCGCACATCTACACGGTTTAGGACCCTGATACTTCGTGGCTTCCTCATGTGCAAATCACCTTGATGTCAAATAATGTAGACTCTTGATAAAATAAACCACCGCATTTGGATTGAAAAACCTTCACAGGGGGGTTACAAGAAGTAGCAACTGGGAGACAAGTGGCACATTCCGCAGCTGCTATGTTGCTCTTAGGACCACGGATGCACACAACGCAAACCCAAATGCAGCCATTCCGCACATGGCCCAATGCACTCGCATGTCTTTTCCCCATGACTCACCATGTTTATTGGCTTTGAAAGCCATGCGCGATCACATGGTAGTTGGGCCACTGAGCATCACATCTAGAATCATCTTCAGGGACTTCTGCTTGATACCCAGCCTCTGGCAGCAGGCAAAACTCTCATAAGCTTCGACTCGCCATGGCAAATCCCTTGGAGAACCAACCCCTTGGACCTACAAAGAAAACCGTTTGAACCAAAAACTAGTAGAGCTTGACTCACTTCTTTGCAGAAAAGAAGCTTCAGGTCGTGCGTGCACCGGTGCATCTATCGGGGACCCTGGCATTGAACCATCCTCTCTGGAAGAGGTCGGATCCGTGGCACTTCGTCGCAGTGGAGCCGCGGTGGAACCGCGGAAGCGCGGCATCGCCACGTTGGACGCTCCGTGCAACACGTGCAGCGGACGCTCCGTCTGATGCCTCGGTACCGGTGGGATTAGGAGAGCGGAGGGCCAAGCGGGTTGGCCTCCAAGCTCGGAGCGGCCAACAAGTGGCAACAGGGGAGCGGATGGCCTGCCTGGAGGCAATGGCCTCCAAGCTAGTAGCGATGGCCTGAAAATGCCATGGATATGTCAATAAGAGGGGAAAAAATAAAGAAACATGTTGAAAACCAACGGGACCCCCAAAAATGCCATGGACCTGTCGAGCATCGGGTCCTTCAACTGCCTCTCCCTCTCTTCCGCAGCGGCCTCGAAGAACTGCGCAGCCTCTTTCAATCTCCAGTTTTCCCCCTCCAACTCCGCCACCTTCTCGAAGGCGGCCTGTAAGGCTCTGACTAAGTGTTCCTTCTCCATCTCCAGCAGTTCCACCCGTCGTCTTAACTCCACCGCCAGGTCCAGCACATCGCTCAACGCCGGACGCGGCCACTCCGGACCGGCGCCGTCCGGGCCGGAACTCGCTCCGCCGGAACTCGCCGCGGTTTGCGCGGTTGGGGACACGTTGGGTGGGGTTTGGAAGGTGGGTGGTGCTTTGGGTGCTTGGGGTGCTTGGGGTGCTTGGGATGCTTGGGAGGTAGGGACGTTGGGCAAACTGTTTGAGTTGGTAGGTGGTGGTGGCGGTGGCACAAGTGGTGGTGGTGTTGGTGGAACATTGGGCTGGCTCGAAGGATGTGAAGCACCTGAAGGGACACGGGAACATGTTGGCATGCTTGGTGTGTTCGACACATTTTAGAAGGATTGACCATGAAACCCTTTCTGCAAGTCCATAAAGTGCCAAGTTCAATCCTAACAGGAAGGTCGATAGTTTGGGAGTCATGGTGCTCCTCACAGGTTACTTTCTCGAAACACCTTTTTTGTTTCCACTAAAAACCCAAGTCGGACCTGGTAGAGTTCCACCCTGGCGCAGTGTAGGTTGAACCTCTTCCTTCTTCCGAATTGCGTCACCATGCTGCGGTGTGGATTGAACATCTTCCTGCTTCAGAGTTGGGTCACCACGCTGCGGTGTGGATTGAACATCTTCCT